CCCCCCCCCCCGGCCCGCCGGGAGCCGCTGCTACTGGGGGTTTCCCGAGGTTCCCCGGCCAGGCTGTTAGGCCAGCCCCACTGCCATCAGGGATTCCCCTGCTGGGGTCGGGACTCCCCGGCTGCCACCTGGCCCTGCTGGAGCTCCCAGGCAGCTGCATGGCCCTGCTGCTGCCAGGGATTTCCTGGTCAGGGCTACCTGGCCATCCCAGCCCCATTGCAGAGCAATATCCAGGTTCTCCAGCCACCACCGGCTCCGCTGCCATGGGCTTTAAGCCCACATGACCCCACTGACACTTGGGGTTCCCTGGCTGGGCCAGAGACTCCCTGATGCCACCTGGCCCTGCTGTTGCTGGTGTTCTTCTACCCAGCCACTGCTGGCCCAACTGGGATTCCGCAGACCCTAAATTCTCCAGGCTGGCTCTTGCTCCTGGGGCTCTTTGATCCAGCAACATCCGTGGCCTTGCTGATCCACAGATGTTGCCGGTCCAGAGAGTCCTGGATTTTGGAGGTGCAACCTGTAGTGGAATTGGTGCAGAGTTAGGCAGCGAATTACACACTCCCCACCAAGTGGAAACTTGGCACAGCAGAGAATCTCTGTCATTAAGGGCTCTTCCATTGGTACTGGTACAATACACAAACATATAGCAGATTTAATAAGAAGTTGGAAGGTCTCTCATTCTCGATAGAACAGAGGAGAATCTAAAGGTGAAGCCCTGATAAACTGTGGTGGTTTCCACATTCCTGTGAATACTTTAATAATATATAGCCCAAGAACAATATCTAAATTTGATGAGTAAATTAACATTCATATAGTATATTCCCTCACTCTATATGGTCAAATTGAGTTTCCTCACTCTATTCTCATTATCCTGAAATATCTTGTTTAAGCTGCAGATGTTGAAAAAGAGAGAGCTTCTCTTACACAGATGTTTAAATTGAGGCATGTGCTGAACCAAGGCCCTAACAATGTGCAAACAGAGAATTCAGCGTGGAAATTACGGAATCACAAGGCCAAATGAGAAAGACTTGCCAAAATAGACTTTTATTACAGTATTAGAGAAGTAAGCAGTCCTTCTGGTTTATTCACATTGTAAGAGATGCAAACTTGATAGCATATCTACTTTAATTTATTTACTCTTATGCTAAATATTTATAGTGCTTATACTTTTGGATTTTAACTTGGCAAAAACACTTTTGTTGCCCTTCAAACTGCACAAATGCTGCAGACAGCTTAGATACTAGTGTACAAAGAAGTCCTTCGTAAGGATCCAATCCTGCTCCTGTTGAAGCCAACTGGAGTTTTTCCAATGACATGAAAGGAAGGACTGGTTGCTAAAATTAGTTTACTACACATGTTTTGTACAGTACTTGTGGCCTTTTTTCACTTAGGAATATTAAGCAGAAATCTTTAAAAAAACAAAAACAGAATAAGAATAGTTTGTTAGGGAGATAAGTGTCCCTACCTTGGTCAGCAAACCTTTCATGGCTGGTTTCACATCAGGCTGTATGAAAAGTGGACTAGCAGCCTGTATTTTAAGGACATTCTGCAGTACTTTGATCCATTCTTCTAAGATGTTGGGAGAATCTGCCGTCAGGTAGTAAGTTCGTTTTTCTGTGATCAACTGAATAGTGGCAGAAAAGATGCCTTCACTTCTAAGAATATTATGCATTTCAACTGGTTTAATATACCCTTATTTATAGATATAAATTACTTGCAACATTTTTATTATCACTTTTCTGAAGAGAGCCTCTTAAAGGCAATACAGAGCAGATGGCCTAATAGTTGAAGAGACCTCATTTGAAAGGTCTCCTTATAGTAGATTACATGGAATTAATTAATTTTACCTAAGCTGAAATTGCAACAGATAACATGTGAACCAGTGGTTTCAGAGTTCTTGGAGAAAAAACCAACCTCTCAGGGTTACATGCTACAGGTAACAATCTTACCTGAACAAGAATATGAAAAAGGTAACCCTACTGAGTTTTTTCTATCTCTAATTTCTATGATTGAAACAATCCCTTCCCCTTCAGATGGAGGACACTCACTGCCTCCAAAAGCAGACACATTTGGAGGAAGGGTTACTTTGGGGGAAGAGAGGACCCTCTAAACATACAACAACACAATGAAGCACCTGAACTGTTTGTTTTCCATCCCCTCTTACAATGTGGCTGGATACGCTCAACTCAATTTGACCATGTGGCTTTCGAATTACATCACTCTGTGTGAAAGAATTAGAAAAAAAAAGGATTATTCATCTGTAATAGCAATAAAATAATGGTCTAACACATTTAAGACTTCATCACTTGAAGCAACCAGCACCTAACACAGGGGTGGGCAATTTGCAGCCCATATGCTGGATGTGGTTCACCAGAATTAGCCTAGACAGGCTAACCGATGCTTTATTGACTTGAGCATCTGCCAGTACAGCTGTTTGCAGCTCCCATTGGCCATGGATCACTGTTTCCAACCAACAAGAGTTGTGAGAAGTGGTGTCCTGGTCTGTGCTGCTTCTGACAGCTTCCATTGGCTGGGAATGGTGATCTGCAGCCAACAGGAGCTGTGAACAGCTGTACTTGCAGATGCTCAGGCAAGTAAAGCATCTGGCGGCCCACCAAGGGCTAATGCTAGAGAACCGTGTCCGACTCATGAACCACTTATTGCCCACCCCTGACCTAACAGATATAGTGTTCTCAAATCCCATGAGATAAGAGTTAAGGGTGCTCAACAACTTAAGGCACTGGGCCTTGTATTATGTAATATCTAATGTAGTAAAATAATTTATTTGTTCATCTGGCAATTTTAGAATCATGTAGAGGCATCAGGAACTAAATAGCAAACACACCACACATACTCACCGGAGATTTGTAGTACAATAACTCACCGCCTTTGAGCACAAACCATCGTCGCTTCCAAGCTTTTACTTTACCACTCATTTTTAACAAATATCCAGATTTTTCCAAAGGCTCCTGATTATTTAAAATAAAAGGTACGTAACACATTGTAGAAAGGTATTTTGCCAAAGAAAAAAATGCCTACCTGGTACATAATTTTTACAACACTTTGTCATTTCATAGTACGCAAACCTAGTTTTTACATGCAATAACGTTAACATTCATAGGTGTAAGATAAAAAATATTTTTTCCTGTTTTACACCTAGAGGTACAGAAATTTGCTCCAACTCACACAAAAAGAGCTAAGAATCAGACCTAGGACTTTTGATTCCCAGGCCTAGGTTCTAAGCATTATGCAACATTTTCACTAAATAATTATGAAAATATTGCCCATAAATCTTGCAATTTTAAAAATAGATTTACTCAACCTCTTAACTTTTAGACCTGACTGAACACTCCCAGAGAATTGTAATTCAGCAGCTGTACACAAACTCACCTTCAGTGCAAACTCCAGCAAAATCAGGGGTGCTAATAGTCTATATAGGCCCCTGGGCAAGGTTTGTGAGGGGAGCAGCTTCATGCTCCTAGAAGGGGAGGGGCTTCAGGTGGAAGGGGCAAAGCTAGAGGTAGCCAGCTCTCCATCCTGTGCAGAGCACAATATGCGCTCTCCTCCTCCCCAGCCCTGAGAGCTGCACGGAGCACAAAGCACTCAAGTGGCAATTTAAAGGTCCCAAGGTTCCAGCTGCTGTTGTAGCTGTGGCTGGAAGCCCTGGGCACCTTTGACTAGCCAGGCCCCAAGGCAACTATTTCCTTTGCCCCTCCCTTCTTCCCCCTCCCGGTCAGTGGGCTTGAGCAAAATAAAGCTCAGGAATTTGCTCTATGAGAAAAGTGTCAGGAATTGACCAATATGGTCCTCATTCCCAATCAGCCAAATTGCTTGCATATGCAGGACACAGCCATTAATACAGGCTGTAGTAGGAAATACATATGGAGCCCATTAACCCACACTGTGAGTTTGGATTCTATGATCTGTGCAGCATGTGGACCCGCTGACCACACATCTGAACTGCCCACAGTCCCCTCCATCCAATGTGAGGCAGTTGCAGACAACCCATCTATGGCTGCCGTCTGTACTATGTACAGGGTAGTACAGAAATCTCACCGTCCCTGCTTCTGCTGAGCTCATCCCCCTCCATCTAACAAGGTCTGATTCTTTTAAGATGAGTTTAGGTAATTTACATGCAATAGGTTGCCTCAAGTGTCTGACTGATTAGAGTCAGCACATGGGTCATTTATGAAACTTAACATATTGCTGTTCGGAATCATCACATCGTGTGCCAAGCAGACTTAGTACTGAGCTTTGTTCACATTAGGCACAGAAGAAAAAATCCTATTATTCATTGCATAACTTTGGTACTCACATTTTTTCCATTATCACTAGATGAGGAACAGGTTTTAGGGAGTTTCTGCTCTGGCTCTGAATATTCTGTATCTGTTGAGTAGGCATCAGGAGGAATAGCATAGTCGCTTTCTGAGGCCATAGAAGACAAAGACACACCTGCATGAAAAAGCAAAAAAGAGGTCATATGTATATTTCTTCACCATCATATTTTAGGTAGGAAAAACCAGCTAGGGTGTGAAGGGAATAGCTGAGCTGGTAGTTGGTGACAAGCTAAAATATTAATAGCATTCTAGGGAGAGGGTTTAATTTTTCTGACAAGAATATTGTATGCAGTGCAACTAAATTAATTAAAAGTAATACAGAAGTGTTTATTTAGGAATTTGGAAATGCTCCCGGCATATAAACATAAAGAATGCAAGGAACAATGTGAAAAATGTCATGCTCAAGAAAATGATTAGATGCAATTTAATATTTACTGGCTGTAAAACATTCTTAAATATTAAGTTATTCACTGACTACAAAGCAGAAGATATATTGGGAGAAATTAAAAACCCTCACATGGCCTACAGCTTTCCCCTATTAGAAAATATTTATTTAAATCAGGGGTGGGGAACCTATTTTGGGTCGGGGTCCACTGACCCATAGAAAAAAATCAGTTGGGAGCTACACACAAGTGAGAAGTCAAAAAACAAAAAACAAAAAAAAAAGGCAAACTCTCACCGACGTGGCACCTGCCTGAGAAGGAGAAAGACACTCTCCACATTCCCCTCACACACTAGAGCTTAGTGGGGCCCAGGCTAGTAGATTTTGTGTGCTCCAGTCCCACAATAGGTGAGGGCTCCCCAGTGCAGCCAGTAGCTTTGGCTCCCCACAGGCACTGGCTCCCATGAAGCCACCTACCCTCCATGCTGCTCTCTTCTCTCAGAGAGAAGCAGCAGCATGGGCAGCGGGGTAGGGAGGAGCTGGTACACATTGGAAGCAAGCTTTCAAGCCAGTTCCCTGTGCGTACCAGCTTCTGCAGAGCTGCCTGTCCCCCACATGTAAACGTGTAACCACTAATAATTACAGCAATTATACATTTATTTATACACGATTTTTAATACCCATAGTCAAAGCATCCATGTTTTAAAAAGGAGAAAGCAATTGTTATGAAGAATAAACATTGCACACGCTCAAAAATAATTTTAAGCCTCTCAAAATATTTGTTTTTATGGTTTCTGCCCACCTCGTTTCATGGCCCTAGGGCTACCTGGGCCACTTCTACTTCGAGAGTCTGATTCTGAGGTCTGTGAGCTGCACTGGGAGCTGTCTTCTTCCTCTGATCCTGAAGAGTCATCTAAGAATGGGCTGTTGCTTATTTGAGTTGCTTTCTACAGAAATTAACACACTCTCTTTGAAATTTTACATAAAATATACTATTTTACAGATGTACTTATTTTACTGGCTTTTAAAACTGCCTACAGCTGCAAAAGGCACTATAGACACCTACTGCAATAGAGATATAATTGCAATAATTAAAACAAAGCAAAACCAAACCAAACCCTTACCACCAATTATATAGATCAACAATAAAGGGTGGTATAAAAACTAAAAGTATTGGCACTAGCATTGTTACCAGAAAATCTTAATCAAAACCACCAAATTAACCCATCTTAAAAATACCTTAACTTTACCTTGTGCCCCAATACATATTAAAATTTCTCTCTGGTGGACCAGCAAAAGAACACAAGTATGCATATGATTATATTTCACTTTACAAATAAACTCATGGGCATGATTCAGCAGATGCATGCGATCTAAGTTCTGGTTAAAGCTGTGCGCTACTGCCTGTTAGAGAACCTGTGTTCTGTCAGACTGAGGTCAAGGTTAGCTGGCCCAAAACCATTGTGAGGCTTCTCTATAGGCCAGTGGTAGTAGTAGTTCACCAGGGTTAGGCCCTGGTGGGCTGCTGCCACTTATTTTTACCTGAACATCCACAGGTATGGGCGATTGCAGCTCCCATTGGCCAGGAACGGCGATCTTTGGCCAACCGGAGTTGCAATCCCCAGTATCTGCAGAGGCAAAGGTAAATACAGTGATGTAGGGGCCTGCCGGGGCTAACCTGGCAGACTGAATCCGGCCCATGGGCTGGTATTTTACCACAATTGCTGTAGGCCTCTATGAAATTAACACTGGAGGGATGTGCTAAAATGAGTCAGCCACTGATGCAATATTAAACATCTATGTAGAGGTGACTCCTCTTGTTGGCAGGAATGATTTGCACAGCAGGATAGGTGTGGGGTCACTCTTTGACAGAACTGTGTGTCTGCCAGTTTCATCAGGGGAAGGATATTCTACTCAACTACAAAATTTGGCTCTGTATGATGTGATCTTGAACATTAAGTCAAACTGTCCAAATAGTATAATATTGGTAAGTAATGGGCTTTGCCCAGGGGGTAATCCCTAGCAATAATTTATAGCCGTGCTCCACATGCTACAGGAGAAGCTCTCCTGCAGCACAGCTCCATGGCATAAGGGGATAGGAATGGCCTTTACATGCTCTTAGCCCTCTACACAGCACTGGAACTCTACTGGCTCTACTGCATTTAGATTGTACAGAAGGTCTTACTTGGGTCCCAGGATTAAGCACACAAGTAGTGATACACAATTAACTCCCTCCTCTCCAACACCTATGTATTACAGGTTGAACCTCTCTGGTCTGGTAATGTCTGTGGTCTGGCATGATTTTAGTAAGCTGGTTGGCCACTTATCATGGTCCCTTAAAGTTTATTTACAGCCAGCAATCCTGGCTCTCCGTGTTCTATGCTGTTATTTAACTCTTATTTACCACTAAATGTCTTTTTAGAGATGAGTAAGCTGTGGAAATGTTGTTAATGTTACTAGACAATGTTGACCTCCTGTGGTTCAGCAAATTCTCTGATTTGGCACTAGTCAGGTCCCAATGGTGCCGGATTAGAGAGGTGCAACCTGTACATTATTTATGTTTAAGAGCATACACTTTTCAAATTGCCAAGAAGATTGTCAGGAAACAAATAATGCTCTTATTAGAGTCTGCAAGTTTCTGAAATAGCTTTGACATTGACACAATGACTCTTCTAGACCTAAACTTGTAATTACAGCATTGCACATGATGCAGCTGTTTCATTAGTTAACAAGTGACAGGAAAACCAATAGAGGACAAATCACAAATTGACACAGGCTTGTAACACTTTATAAGCAACAACTTATTTTCAGGACATCTGACATATCCGTTACTTCTGGGTTTTTATGGTCTTTAAACATGATCTAATGACATATTTGGCAAAGTACCATCAACCATACAATGCCAAGTTCCTGAACGTGGAGCCTAACACTATAGATTTTCACACAACTTTCTTTTAAACAACAATAATTTTACCCCTTTCAAAATAGTGTAGACTGGAGTGGTCATGTTCTTGTATATCAAAGAAGTGTATAGTCCAGATATGGTACACGAAGCTATAGCAGCAGTACCTGAAATAAATAGCATAAACACAGTTCTTTAAAATTAGCTTCCAAAATTATTTAAAGCATTTCGTTGAACTTTGATGCCACACCATTGTAACTTTCTTGTCTTCACTAGAGTTATTCTTAAATTATAATGGAGTATGAAAAAATCATAATCAGGATCCTAGTCTTTTTGTAATTTAAATACATTCTCTCATCTTTGATGCCTCATTACATAACCTTTGGCAAGCATTCCAAAGAAAGTCATAATCCTTTATTCACTATAATGTAGGAGTGGGCAATAATTTTTGGCTGGGGGCCACTCCAAGATTTTGGAAAGTGGTCAAGGGTTGCACTTTTCTGTGGAGGATGTGCAGGGTTTGGATGGAAGTTGGACAGAGAAGGGTGCATGGGGTAAGGAACTGGGATGCAGGAGGTGATGTGAGGTCTAAGAGGAAGTTTGGGCAAAGGAGGGGGTTGTGACCTGGGTTGGGGATTGGGGTGTAGGGTCAGAGAGGGGGTATGCGTGCAGGAGAGGATTCTGACCTGGGAGAGGGGCACTAGGAGCAGGGTGAAAAGTCTGGGAGGGAGCTGTGACCTGGGAAAAGGGGGTGCAGATTACAGAGGGTGTGGGTGGTGACTTGGGGCAAGGGAATGGGGTGCAGGGTCTCGGAGGGTGTTTGGGTGCAGGAGAGGAGTCTGGCCTGGCAGAGGGGCGTAGGAGGGGCTACAGGGTGTGGGAGGGAGTTGTGACCTGGGGCACGGAGGGTGCAGAGGGTTTGGATGGTGATCTGGGGAGGGCGTTGGATGTAGGAGGGGCTGGGGTGCCAGAGGCAGGCTCTGGCTGGGAGGCACTTACCTAAGCCAGCAGCCCTGCAGCACCCTCAAAGCAGGCTGGGTTCCCTGCCTGTAGCAGCCACAAATCACTTAAAACTGCAAGCTGCAAACCCCACATGGCTCTCAATTTCAGGAGGGCAAAGAATCTTGCACTGATCCCATCCTCTGGGCCAATCTCTCAGCTCTTATTGGCTGGCTGTTTCTAGCCAATAGGAGCTGAGATATTGACTGTGGTCAGTTCCTATTGGCCGGTTGTTTCTGGCCATTAGGAGCTGAGGGTTGGGCTGGGAGATCACATGAAGCTTCCCCCTCCCTGCAGAGCAGAGCTTTAAATGTGTGGACTGAGCTTTAAATCGCGCAGCTATGTGCCTGGGGGTCCCGGCTGGGTGGTCTGTGGGTTGGATACAGTGGCTTCCTGGCCCGGATCCAGCCTTGAGCCATAGTTTGCCCAGCTCTGCTATAATGAATACATACTTAAGAGGCAAGCATTCAAGAGTAGACAATAGAAATACTGGAAGGTTAAATTTGTTTTACCCAACTTTAAAGAAAAAAAAGAAAGAAAATTCATATTTTAGAGGAGACTGGGACATCTGGTCCCTTATAAATTACAATAGAGAGAGGATTTTGGCTATCGGTACAAACACTCACTTACTTTTGTTAAAAGAGTCCATGTTGAAAGCTTCAGACATTCGTAAACCTGACTTGGCTACAGCATAAATTCTGCTTTCCTAACATAAAAGCAGAGATGTTTACAGCAGATATTATAAAATTAAAGATATTTCTTCCTCAAATCTTCCCTTTGCCCTCACACTGCTGTAAGTATGTAATATAACAGTGGTATCAATGCTGGCTGAAACGTGACATTGTCTACTTCACACACCAGATCAGTGATCTCTTTCAACCTTTTCCCATACAAGACTTGCCTGTGTACTAAAGAGTTCTTTGTTTTTAATACTAAAATTAGTTTGTCAAAATTCTCCTAAGTTGTCATGGGATAAGAGGGATGGTCCTTTCATGGATTGGTAACTGGTTAAAAGACAGGAAACAAAGGGCAGGAATGAACGATAAATTTTCAGAATGGAGAGAGGTAACTAGTGGGGTCCTCCAAGGGTCAGTCCTGGGACCAATCCTATTCAACTTATTCATAAATGATCTGGAGAAAGGGGTAAACAGTGAGGTGGCAAAGTTTGCAGGCGATACTAAACTGCCCAAGATAGTTAAGACCAAAGCAGACTGTGAAGAACTTCAAAAAGATCTCACAAAACTAAGTGATTGGGCAACAAAATGGCAAATTTTGTGTGGATAAAAGTTTGTGTGGATAGAAATTTAATGTGGATAAAAGTAAAGTAACGCACATTGGAAAAAATAATCCCAACTTTATATACAATATGATGGGGAGTAATTTGGCTACAACTACTCAAGTGAAAAATCTTGGGGTATGTCTACACTGCCACCCTAGTTCGAACTAGGGTGGCTAATGTAGGCATTCGAACTTGCAAATGAAGCCCGGGATTTAAAAATCCCGGGCTTCATTTGCATGTTCCCGGGTGGGCGCCATTTTTAAATGCCCATAGTTCGAACTACTTGACCACGGCAACATGCGGCACGGACTAGGTAGTTTGAATTAAAGCTCCTAATTCGAACTACCTAGTCCGTGCCGCGTGTTGCCGCGGTCAGGTAGTTTGAACTACGGGCATTTAAAAATGGCGCCCGCCCGGGAACATGCAAATGAAGCCCGGGATATTTAAATCCCAGGGTATGTCTACACTGCCACCCTAGTTCGAACTAGGGTGGCAGTGTAGACATACCCTCGGAGTTATTGTGGACATTTCTCTGAAAACATCTACTCAGTGTCCAGTGGCAGTCAAAAAAGAAAATAGGATCATAGCAGTCATTTAAAAAAGGGATAGAGAATAAGACAGAAAATATCTTATTGCCTCTATATAAAACCATGGTACACCCACGTCTTGAATACTGAGTACAGATGTGGTCGCCTCATCTAAAAAAAGATATATTGGCATTGGAAAAGGTTCAGAAAAGGGAAACAAAAAATAATTAGGGGTTTGAAATGGTTCCCATATGTAGAGATATTAAAAAGACTTGGATTTGTCATCTTAGAAAAGAGGAGACTAAGGGGGGGGCTATGATAGAGGTTTATAAAATCATGACTGGTATGAAAAAAGTGAATAAGGAAAAGTTATTTACTTATTCCCACAATATAAGAATAAGGGGTCACCAAATGAAATTAATACGCAGCAGGTTTAAAACAAACAAAAGGAAGTTTTTCTTCACTCAATGCAGTCAACCTGTGGAACTCCTTGCCAGAGGATGCAGTAAAGGCTAGAACTTTAACAGGGTTCAAAAAAGAGCTAGATAGATTCATGGAGTTTAGGTACATCAATGGCTATTAGCCAGGATGGGTAGGAATGGTGTCCCTAGTATCTGTTTCTCTGGAGGTGAGTGACAGGGGAGGGATCACGTGAAGATTACTGTTGTGATCCCTCCCTCTGGGACATCTGGTATTGGCCACTGTCAGCAGATAGGATACTGTGCTAAATAGACCTTTGATCTGTCCCAGTATGGCCATTCTTATGTTCTCCTCCTGCTTAGGAGAACTAGGAGAGAACATCTATTATTCTAGCATAGAATGTCATCTGTAGAAGCAAGTTATGCAAGTAGCTATTTACCAAAAGCTTTTCAAATTATAGTAGCAAAAACTGATAATGAAAAACTTCCCATGAAAAGTATACTTCATCTCTGACCTTGCCCTCTCCCCTGGCAACAATAAGCCAGTTACTTGTATTCCTGTATGATTCCAGATTCTTCATGAGGTGAGCATAACAAGGTAGAGAAAGAAGACTTTTCATTCTCAGGCTGAAAGGAGATGACTTAGAACTAAATAATTTTAAGAAAAGGACTAAAACAAAGAATTAAAATTTGACCCTTTGTGTCATGATGTAAAAATTGTATATGAATTCTCTTACATTTTAAAACAATGGATTAATGGAAGTGTAAAATTAATGGAGTTTACAGTTCTTCTGTAATCAATAAATTACTACTGCTACAGATTATGAAATTCCTCTGAACAACCAACAAGATTAACAACTTCTTTAAATATGGTCCATTGTGCCAATATATATTTACAATTCTTTAATTCACAAATTAGTGGCCTGAATTGTATTGCTGAGTTGTTAGAGCAAAGGACTTGGAACCAGGAGTCCTAAGTTCTATGGTGTAACGTAGTGTGGGCACCTTGCTGGTTGCTAGGCTTGGGTTGTGAGTGACCTCCACTGGCTGCAGCACGGCCCAGCAGGGCAGGGGATGAGTCATTATGCAAGGGGGCTTCGAACCTGTCTGACCAGTTATCTCCCAGGGAGCGGAACAATGGGAAGAAGGGGAGTGGAGCCCTGGCTGGGGGCAGGGCTGGGAGTGAGCGAGTTAGGTTTCTGGTTGGTATCATGGAGGAAGCAGCCTAGGCAACGGGCTGGGATTTAGGGGCCCAGGCGCCCTCATCTCAGGGGGGCTGAGGCATCCTAGGCCTGCCCTGTAACCAGATTACATCTGTGCTGTGCTGTATCCTGGAGAAACAATAAACTCCCTCTATTCTCCTGGCTGGTGGAGTCTGTCCGTGCCATTACAGGGGTGCAGCAGATGGGAAAACCCCAACGTGCCATCATATATGTCATAAAGAAAAGTCAATACTTAGAGTTATTACCTAGATGTGTGCACACCAATGAGAACATGAAAATTCGATATGACTGTTCAAAAAAATGTTTCTCAATAAACAAAATAATGGCCACACATTTTTATATGGCATTTTCAAGACAAAGAGCTCATTAACCCATGAATACGAGAATGGTTGTTGAACGTATGCACTTTAAATATTTCAATTATATGTTTTACTCCGTATTCTTTTGCTAGATTAAAAACACAAGACGCTAGAATAGGTGTTAAAACTGAACTTGCTTCTGAGGAGTTGATAATCTCAACTGATGTTTACCCAACAAATCATATTTCCCCCACAGACACAGGGAATGAGAAAGGTAGAGGAGAAAATACAGTAAAAGCAACAAAATGAACTAAATGAGTAAAAAAAAAAATTAATTGTATTTACCCAGGAGGGGAATCGATGCAGAGGAGGGGTAGGGGGCTTGTTGCTAATTGCCTTCCTTGTTATATCACTGGACTCCTGATCTTCTTCACCCTGTGCCTCAAAAGAGTCATAGGTAAATGTACCATCAAAATCAATCTCCATTTTCTCTACAATGTCAGTATTTTCTGCATCCACCAAGTCAATATCTGTTTCCTGAGGTCTCAAGGGTCGTATCATGCTTATAGCATTTCTATTTCTATCAAACATTCTGTCAGAACTGAGCTGGGGTTGACTTAAGTGCTTTTTTGCCAATGCTACACTTATACTAAAAACATTGGGAGTCCGTAACTTTGGAGGTGGCAAATTTGATGACGAATTTGATTGTGTCACACACCGAGAATCTGCTGTAGGTGTCAGGACTGGATACTTAAGTGCTAGAGCAGAGATTAAAATTGAACTTGGGTTATTTGCTTTACTAGATGAGGATGAACAATCTAATCGCTGAGACTGAAATTTCTTATTCAGTTCATCTGAAGATCTATCTTGTTCTTTTCTACCTAAACACTCAGAATTGCTCTTTCCAAATGGATTGTTCTGACTTTTCCACTGACATCCATGCTGCCGGGAGTACAGCTGATTGTGCTCAGATTTCTGAACTGCAAAGCTGTCCTCTTCACATAGAGAACTACTATCGTCAGATGCTGTCAAATACATTTCACTCCCAATTCTGCTGTATCTTGCACTTTCTTCAGATGTCTGACTTGAAAGGGTAGAAGCACATGTGGATTTTGGTCTTTTATCATGTCCTTCATCTTCATCGGAGCTCCAGTCACTTCCTAGCATGCATGTGTTCTTTGGTATACTACTATCTGTATCTTTTGATGGGTAATTTGTTCTTGAATTTTTATTTTGTTCTGATCCACAGGTGCTTTGATGCAATGATCTCTGACCTTTATTGCTCTCATGTGGAAGAGCAGCCAGGGATGGTTGCTGGAAGTTTTTCTCTAGAAAAGAAACATATAAATTTGATAATAATTACTTTTAATAAAGTTAGCTGTTAAAACAATTTGTAATCAGAACTGCAATATAGTTAAAGTTAAATTCATTTAATTTGTGGTGTATGTTGTAAAAATAAACCAGAAGGAAAATACTGGACATATTCTGAATTGTCAGTAGGGACAGTGAAGAATATATATTTGAAAGAAATTAGAAATGATATTTACCAAGGAACTGTAACTAAAACCATTCTTATATTTAGTGGTCTATCCAAAAAACTCAGAATAATAATGATGGGAAGAAAGGAAAGCAAGATGTGCCAAACTTTAAAAGAAACCAGATATGCAAGAACTTTTATTTTAAGGACACATGCATTTATCCATGTTAATAAATCTTAAAGAATACAAAGTTTTTTTAAATGTAGGAAAGAAAGTGTGAAGATTACATTGAGAATTAAAATATTCAGAGTTTTTTTATTTATTATAATTAGAAAACTCATTTTAATGCCACGTTTTAAATCCCAATGCTAAACTCTTAAGACCCACTGATGTTTCAAGAAAAATGTTTACATGCATTTATCCATGTTAATAAATCTTAAAGAATACAAAGTTTTTTTAAATGTAGGAAAGAAAGTGTGAAGATTACATTGAGAATTAAAATATTCAGAGTTTTTTTATTTATTATAATTAGAAAACTCATTTTAATGCCACGTTTTAAATCCCAATGCTAAACTCTTAAGACCCACTGATGTTTCAAGAAAAATGTTTAGGAAA